GTTGGCAGCAGCCGGCGTGGCCGGCAGGCGGACGTCCCTCGGTGCCGGGTGGGAGCCGGGTTCCCCTGCGCGGCGGTAGTCACGTGTGTCTCTCTTCCTCAAGGTTCCGAAGGTTCCGAAGACGACGACGACGACGACGACGACGACAACGACGTGGAAGCGCTGGTGGCAACAGATCCTCAGGGGAAGCTGGAGGCCAGTGGCACGTGTCCCTCCGACGACGAAGCGGAGAGCTGCCCCATTTGTCTCAACGCTTTCAGGGACCAGGCTGTGGGGACCCCGGAGAGCTGCGCCCATTACTTCTGCCTGGACTGTATCCTGGAGTGGTCCAAGGTGAGGCGGCTGCTCTCGGCCCCTGTCTGAGGGCCCGGCCTGTGCTGGCCTCGTGCTGGGTGCTCTGCTCTGAAAAAAAATTCCGAGCCCCGGGGGCCTGCGAGGAGAGGCCCAGAAGCCTGCGCGTCTCCTGTTCTTTCCACTCGATTGTGAGAATCTCACAGGCGTGGACTGTGCAGCGATGAGAAGGTGTGGCCATGCTGACATGTCCTCTGCAGTGCTCTCCTCGCGCTCCCACCCCACCCGTGACGCCACGTCAGCAGGGCTGCCGGATGCAGGGCGAACCACGGCTCACATGGGAGCGCACTTAGACGTCAGCCAGAGGAAGGGGCTAGAGCGGCCGTTGAGAGCAAGCGGAGGTGGCCCTCCTGCGTGGGAAGTCGCACGCGGGGGGCAGTGGGCAGGCTCCCCAGAGCCCGGCGCCCGAGGCTGCGCGGTTCCTGGAGAGCACGCGGGGGAGAATCCCTCCTGGCGCGGCACTTTGTCGTCTGTGGTGGCGACACTGGACTTCATCCGGGAACGGGCCCCGGGCCGTGGAGCTTGGCGGGGCCAGGGGATGAGGACACAGTGGACACCGCGGCACCTCATGGGCAGAGGGGCTCTTCTGTCAGCGCGTGACGGCAGGGGCAGCTCAAGCAGGACCCGGGGGGCTGCTTGCCATCTGGGAGGTGCAGCAGGGGAGGCCCCTGATAAGGCTCCGGGCGTCCCGGGAGGGACTTACGAGTAGACATTGAGCACAGGAGTCGGCGGGGTGCGCGGGACAGCACGGAGCACACCACAAGGCGACAGCCCTGCACAGCCCGGAGCCCGCGTGGGTGGGCAGAGCCCAGGGCTCCTCAGGCGGGTGTGGGAGTGACGTCCTCCCACAGGGAGGGCCCTGGGAGCCAGAGGACCAGGTGCATCCGGCAGACACGTCGAGGGTGTGCACAGCAGGGAGAGGGGCTGCGGGCTGCCTGTGGGAGGCTCGGGGGCAGCCCCATCCTGGGCTGGCCAGAGGCGCCCAGACCCCAGCGGGCAGGGGGGCTGCGCCAGGATATGGAGGTTCACAGGGGTAAGTGCCTTGCGCTGTACACGGTGTATCTAGTAGAGGCGTTGAGTAGGACTCACGTGGAAAACACTGTGAAGGCGAGAAGATCTTAGCAGCGTTTCTGAGGAGGGAGCCTCTGCGTGTGCTGAGACATGGGAGCAGCTCATGGAGCACGGCACAGGCTTGGAACAGAGAAGGGGCGCCCGTGGCCAGTCGCCTGTGAACGGCCGTGTGCACATGGCGGGCTCCCCTTCCTTCCTCCTCTTTGAGGCGGCGGCTCCTGCCTCGTCGCTGTGGCCCAGCCGCTTAGCCGCGCACGGAGGCGACCTTCTGGCTTTCGGGGTGAAGGCATGTTGCAGGCTCAGCGCGTGCTTTATTTCGAGTGGGACGTTGCTAGTGAACGTGATCTGCAGGGTCCTGACGCCGCTCCTGTTCCTCACAGAATGCCAATTCCTGTCCAGTCGATCGAACTCTATTTAAACGCATTTGTATCCGAGCCCAGTTTGGTGGAAAAGTCCTGAAGAAGGTGAGTGTCTGCGCTGTGGGGAGCCCCCGCCACTTGTGTTCATTGCATGGCCCGTCTCGTGGGGAAGCTTTCAAAATTGCTTTCCTGAGATGAGTGCGTACTGCCCCCACGCTGCTTAGAAACCCACCCGATTGCCATTTGCAGCCATGATGGAGGCTGTGGGGGAGGGGCTGCCCTGTCTGTCGGCCGCGGGGGTTCTGGGGGAGGAGCATTGCAGGCCCAGGTTCCCAAGGCCGGTTCCCAGGCGCCCTCTTCTCCACAGCGCACCTCCTGCCCGCCCGTGGCCGCGCAGCCGGGCCTGGCGGAGGCGGTTCTCTTGGGAGTGGGACCTGGTTTCGGCTGGTTTTTCTGCTTTTCAGAGACCGAAAGGGCCTCCGCACCTCTGGTGTCGAGGACGAGCCGCAGAGAGGCTCCTAGAGGCACCTTAGACCTGAACCCCAGGGACGGCCGCGCAGCTCTTGCAGCTGCAGACCCGCTGTTTGTTACAAAATGCACAAAACCGCAGGTGCCGGTGCGTGAGGTGCATCTTTCTGCTGAGACCACACCCTTCCTGGCGCTCTGGGGTCGGTGTTGCAGGGGGCGGCCTGGGCCCCGGTGTGGGCAGTTTTCCTGCAGGCACCTCATTCCCCGGAGAGTCTGCCTCGGTGACGGGAGGTGCAGGGGGAGCCCACCAGACACGCGGCCTGCTGGTCACCCGCGGCTGCTGACCCCTGCGGGGTGTTGCTGGGGGGCTCGCAGGAGGGGCAGGGGCGTGTCCACAGACCTCCCACCAGACAGGGCTCGAATGACGGCAGCTGTGTTTCCACGTCTTTGCTCAATTGTGTGACGCCTACCGAGGGGTCAGTACCGGCTGCCTGAAGGTTGCTTTCCGGTCCTCGTGGTTGCCCGGGGCGTGGGGTGGGCTCCCTCCAGCACCGGGCCCTCGCATGGGCACCACTTGGTTTTTGGTTGAATCGTTTTTCCTTCTTTTCTTTTTAAATATATTTTATTAATTTTTTACAGAGAGGAAGGGAGAGGGATAGAGAGCCAGAAACATCGATGAGAAACATCGATCAGCTGCCTCCTGCACACTCCCCACTGGGGATGTGCCCGCAACCAAGGTACATGCCCTGACCGGAATCGAACCTGGGACCTTTCAGTCCGCAGGCCGATGCTCTCTCCACTGAGCCAGACCGGTTAGGGCCGTTTTTTCTTCTTGATAAACTACCTTAAAATGGTTCCAAAACATAAAAACCCCTGGATGCGTATTGGTTCCGAGCCTCGGGTCGGTCCACGGGGCCGTGGGAACCTCAAGCAGCTGAGGGAGCTGCTCCGGGCCGACCACAGACTCAGCCCGCTGGGTAGGTGGGTCGGCGCCACTTGCCATGTGAGCAGCCGCGCCTTCTGCCTCCAGGTCCCCGTGGAGAACACCAGGGCCGGAGAGGAGGAGGACGACCCCACCTTTTGTGAGGTGTGTGGCCGCAGTGACCGGGAGGACCGCCTGCTGCTCTGCGATGGCTGTGACGCTGGGTGAGCGCGGGGCCCGCC